CGCCGGCGCAGGCGCGCCGGGGCTGCTGTCGGGGGGGTCAGGGGCAACGGGCAACGGCAGGGTCAGGGGCAGCGATGGGGGGGGGGATGGGCCCAGGGGGAGGATGCGTCGACACGCAATCGCCCATTGAAAACGCCGAGAGGGGCCCGAGAGCCCCAGCCTGCCCGGGAAGGTGCGGAGCCACCGTCGGAGGCCTCTCGCCGATCCATCGTCGAGGTATCGCCGACTGCAGATCGACCCATCCCCCCCTGTGCACATCCCCCCCCCTATCGTTGCCCCTCAGGGGGGGGGGTGCCCGCTCAGTAGGGACAAGAAGAGCACCAAGGGCACGCCGTCGTCAGGAGCCCGTCGTCGTGTTGCTCCTTCGGGGCGGGGGGGGGCCCGCTCGGTAGGGGCAAGGAGCACCAAGGGCGCGCCGTCGTCAGGAGCCCGTGGCTGTCCGACGTTCCGAGGGCCCGGCATCTCACTCACGGCGGAGCCGCTGACGGGCTCCCCACGGCGGCGCGAGATGTTGCTACGCTGCGCCTGGTCCCCCACCTGCGAGGCTCTCTGCAGGAGGAATGTTCAAGCATAGGACAAATTTAACGGGGACTTAAACTAATAATAATAATGATAATAATAATAATACTAATAATACTAATAATACTAATAATCATAATAATAATAATACTGCTAATAATCATAATAGTAATAATAGTACTGATAATAATAACAACAATAATAATACTAATACAAAAAATGTGGTTTCTTATTTGTTGTCAAGTGTTATATTGTTGCAACAATATTGCATCTTTCGCTCAAGCTCCGCCTGGAGGAGGACATGCCCGACCCGACCTAAGCATAATGAGCGGGGGACGGGCATCGACCCCCACTCGCCCATGGATCGCCGATAGGGGCTGCAGAGCCCCAACCTGCCCAGAACGCTCGGAACTCACGCTCGGGGGCCTCTCGCTGCGCTGATCCATCGGCGATGTGTCATCGATTCTAGGTCGATGTGCCCCCCCCCCCCCAATCCAGGCCCCCCCCCCCCCATCGCCGTTTCTCAGGGAGGGGTGTGTGGGGGGGGGGGGGGGGCGAATCTCCGAGCGGGCACGGAGAGGGGATCTTTTTTCTACCACCTCGAGGCTCGAGGTCTCCGGAGGTGCTCCTCCCTTCTCGGCGGCCTCGCCCTGCAGCCTCGCGGGGTGCCTCGTCCCGCAGCCGCGCCTCTCGCCGAGAGCGCTCCCGGCGGGGCCCGGGAGCGCCCCGAGCGGGCCGCGGGACGCCCGGGGTGTGGATCGAAGGTTGTAGGGCAACGTCGGGATGTCGGGGGGGGGGGGGAGGAGGAGGAGGATAGCAGGAGGAGGAAGGGGAAGGATCGGGGGGAGGACGAGGAGGAGGAGGAGGAGGACGAGGAGGAGGAGGAGGAGGAGGAGGAGGAGGAGGACGAGGAGGAGGGGAAGGATGGGGGGGAGGAGGACGAGGAGGAGGAGGAGGAGGACGAGGAGGAGGAGCTTGCTTCGGGCCGCGGGGCCGTCAGAACTCGATCCCACCCCCCTCCCAGCCCGAAGGCCCCGATCTGCCCTCCATGTCCAAAGGGGGTGGTGGTTCAGGAGGGAAAAACACACAGACACAAGTAATCGTCGATTCCCAAGAAAATATGGGAAAATATGGGAATTGGGCGGGAAGACAATTATTCACTGCGTGGGGATCCCCATATGTGCATCTCCTTGCTGGCGCTCCCTTGGTGGTGGGACTCGGTGAGGACGAATCTGGACTTAAGTGTGACTGAGCTGCCTCTCTCTCTCTCTCTGCTCTCTCTGTCTCTCTCTCTCTCTCTGCCCTCTCTCTGTCTCTGCCTCTCTTTCCCTGCCTCTCTCTCTCTCTCTGCCTCTCTCTCTGCCTCTCTCTCTCTGCTCTCTGCCTCTCTCTCTGCCTCTCTCTCTGCCTCTATCTCTGCCTCTCTCTCTCTCTCTCTGCTCTCTCCTCTCTCTCTATTCTCTCTCTCGCTCTCTCCTCTCTCTCTCTCTCTCTCTCTCTCTCTCTCTCTCTCTCTCTCTCTCTCTCGCTCTCTCTCTCTCTCTCTCTCTCTCTCTCTCTCTCTCTCTCTCTCTCTCTCTTTCGCTCTCTCGCTCTCTCTTGCTCTCTCTCGCTCTCTGTCGCTCTCTCTCGCTCTCTCTCTCTCTCTCTCTCGCTCTCACTCGCTCTCTCTCGCTCTCTCTCGCTCTCCCTCGCTCTCTCCCTCTCTCTCTCTCTCTCTCTCTGCTCTCTCTCTCTCTCTCGTCTCTCGCTCTCTCTTCTCTCTCTCTCTCTCTCTCTCTCTCTTCTCTCTCTCTCTCTCTCTCTCTTTCCACTCTCTCTCTCTCTCTCTCTCTCTCTCTCTCTCTCTCTCTCTCTCTCTCTCTTCTATCTCTCTCTCTCTCTTCTCTCTCTCTCTCTCTCTCTCTCTCTCTCTTCTCTCTTCTCTCTTTCTCTCGCCTGTCTCCTCTCTCAACTCCCCCTCTCTCTCTCTCTCCGCTCTCTCTCTCTCTCTCTCTCTCCTCTCCCTCTCTCTCGCTGCTCTCTCTCTCTCTCTCTTTCTCTCCTTCTCTCTCTCTCTCTATCTTTCTCTCTCTCTCTCTCTCTTCCTCGCTCTCTCTCTCTCTCTCTCGCTCGCTCGCTCGCTCGCTCGCTCTCTCTCTCTCTCTCTCTCTCTCTCGCTCGCGCTCGCGCTCGCGCGCTCTCTCTCTCTCTCTCTCTCTCTCGCTCTCTCCCGCTCTCTCTCTCTCTCTCTCTCTCTCTCTCTCTCTCTCTCTCTCTCTCTCTCTCTCTCTCTCCTCTCTGCTCTCTTCGCTACTGGCTTCTGACGGAGTCTGGGTTAGGTGAGCCTGAGTGTGGGTGAGTCTGAGTATGGGTACGTCTGTGTGTGCCTGACTCTGAAGAAATGAATCTGAGTGTGAGTGAGCTTGTGTATGAGTGAGTCTGGGTGCGAGTCTGAATCCCAATGGTGCCCCTGGCAGTGTCTGGCGACTAGGAGGCCCGGGTCGACTCCTCTTTGGGAAGCCAAAATGCTGCCCCTGGCAGCGTTTGGTGACTATGAAGCCCCTGGTGGACCCCCCCTGGGGCTCCCAATGATGCCCCTGGCAGCGTTTTGTGACCATGAGGCTCTCAAGAGATACATGTTGGGGACGCCAAACGGCAATTCTAGCTGAGGCGTCCCACCAAAATCGGCGCGAACGGGCTCGTGAGATCAGCCAGGGTGGCTCCCCCTTGGGGCTCCCAAATGATGCCCCTGGCAGCGTTTTGTGACCATGAGGCTCTCAAGAGATACATGTTGGGGAGGCCAAACGGCAATTCTAGCTGAGGCGTCCCACCAAAATCGGCGCGAACGGGCTCGTGAGATCAGCCAGGGTGGCTCCCCCTTGGGGCTCCCAAATGATGCCCCTGGCAGCGTTTTGTGACCATGAGGCTCTCAAGAGAGACATGTTGGGGAGGCCAAACGGCAATTTTAGCTGAGACGTCCCACCAAAATCGGCGCGAACGGGCTCGTGAGATCAGCCAGGGTGGCTCCCCCTTGGGGCTCCCAAATGATGCCCCTGGCAGCGTTTTGTGACCATGAGGCTCTCAAGAGAGACATGTTGGGGAGGCCAAACGGCAATTTTAGCTGAGACGTCCCACCAAAATCGGCGCGAACGGGCTCGTGAGATCAGCCAGGGTGGCTCCCCCTTGGGGCTCCCAAGTGATGCCCCTGGCAGCGTTTTGTGATCATGAGAGAGTGTGAGCGTGAGTGAATGTGAGTGTGAGTGAGTCTCAGTGAGAGTGAGTCTCATCTTATCTTATCGAGTCATATCTTATCTTACCTTTATTACCCTCTATCTTATCTTATATTGAAATCTCTTATCTTGTCTTAGCTTATCTTATATCAACTCATCTTATCGCATCATATCTTGTCTTATCTTATTACTCCATAGGCAGTCTTATCTTATATATTATCCTACCTTGTCATATATATTATCTTACCTTATCATATTTTGTGCTATCTTATCTTATATTGTAGTATCTTATCGTGTCTTGTCTCATCTGGTGATTATCATTGAAAGGAGGGAGGCGCGAGCGGGAGGAAGGAGGAAGGAGGAGCAGTGGGAGGCGTCAGAGTAATAACAAGAACCCCAATCCTTAGGATATGGGGAAAAATCAAGAAACTATAGGAACATATGGGGGTTTATTTTATTTGTGTGTATTTATTTGTGTGTCCCAGGGCCCCTTCAGTGGTGGTCGGGGAACACGGAAAAAATGCACATGCAGAACCCGTGCGTACCTCCCCATAAACTCGAAGTTTGGGTCTTCGGGTTGGGTTGGGGTGGTCTGGTAGGTAGTCAGATGCGTTCCCCCGGGGGGCGCACCGACCCCCCAAGTCGGCGAATCCCCTGCGAGTGTCCAGGGATGGAAAAGGTAGCGATACCGCTGTTCCTCCTGGGGAGTTCTCGTTGCCACGGCGCATTCTGCTCGGAATCATTGCTAGAGCGCACCTTGGGATACATTCTATCCCCCTTCAAGGTTCGGATCATTTTCGCCATTGGGTATCCTCCCTACTTTCTTTTCTTCTCTGCCCTTCTCCTCTCGCCAGTGTGGCCTGCAGCAGCACCGTGGGGTCGCCCTCCCTCCTGTTGGGAAGCCGACTCTTTGCGCGGCCCATGGGCCAAGAAGAGACAACCTCGACCATTGAGCTGAGGGAGCCCCCCCTGGCGCCCCCCCATGGCGGACATCAACACCCCAGCGGTGGCAACCTGCACGCGGCATTCGAAGACGGGCGTCTCGCGCAGGTCATCACCGTAGGGGTGGTGGTGGTCGGGGTCGTCCCTGGAAGGGCGCCACGGGCTGGTACCTCCGCCCGGCGATGGTGGTTGCCTCTCCTTCGCCCCTGACTGGTGAGCTGTGTTTGATGAAGAAGTCGCACCAATTGTGGATCAAGAGGAAGCCCGCTCGGGCCCTTCCGCCACCCCGGCGCTGCCCCCCCGCGCGCGCCTCCTGGCGACCGCGGCATGGAGCTGCAGGTCCAGGATCGGCCTCTCCGCATGCGCCCTTTCCCTGCCTGCGCCCCGCCTCGCGACACGAAGGGCACGACGGGAGGTTTCTGGCCGCTCTCGGCCTCCTGGGGCCCTCGCCGGGCCTCAGGACCGTCAACGAAACAATTCGGGAAGAAAAACATAGCCTGGGAAAAGGTAGGGGCTTAGGGAGGAGGAGGAGGAGGAGGAGGAGGAGGAGGAGGAGGAGGAGGAGGAGGAGGAGGAGGAGGAGGAGGAGGGAGCGAGGAGGGAGCGGAGGAGGAGGGAGGAGGAGGAGGAGGAGGAGGAGGAGGAGGAGAGGAGGAGGAGGATGAGGAGGGGGAGAGGAGGAGAGGGGAGGAAGGAGGAGGAGGAGGAGGAGGAGGAGGAGGAGGGAGGAGGAGGAGGAGAGGAGGAGGAGGGAGGAAGAGGAGGAGGGGAGGAGGATGAGGAGGAGGAGGAGGAGGAGGAGGAGGAGGAGGGGGAGGGGGAGGAGAAGGAGGGAGCGAGGAGGGAGCGGGAAAAGGTAGGGGGCTCTCGGAGCCCGACAGCGGAGCTGCGGGGGCTCTCGGGCGGGGGCGGGCCAAGGCCTCTGTCGGACTCCCGCGGGGAGCAGGTCCGTATCGGATAAAAACCAGGACGTTGCCTCCGTGGGGGTGGGCCTGCTCCAAGGGCGAGCGAGTTGCACTCGGGTCTGCCACCGCCTTCCTGCCGGGCGAGGCAGCCTGCGGGGCGGCCGCGCAGACCCCCATCACGCCCTCCGACTTCTGAGCATGCACAGCAAACGGGCGAGCAGCACACACACACACCAACAACACACACACACAACAGCAAACAGCAAACTCCACACGACACACGACACGCGACACACAAGACACGACACACAACACGACATACGACCCGAAACGCAGCACGCACCACAACGCACAACACACAACACACAACACAAACACACAACACAATCACACACACAAACAATCAAACAAACCCATATATACACAAACTCGCGTCCGTAGCTATTTTGGCTCAAGCAACCGTTCGGCTTCACCTCGTGGCGCTGGGCGCGCCGCCTCGGGTCGGCCGCGCTCGCCGCCCGGCCATGCTTGGTGCCCTCGCGCAGGACGCGGAGCGGCGGTGCGCGCGGGAGGCGGCGCGCGGCCCCCCTCCCGCCACCCACGCAGCCTCGGGCCTGGCCGCAGGCTGGTCCCTCGCGGGGGTGCGCCTCCTGCGGACGGCCGAGGGATGTTCTGCGCGCCGCGGCGGCAGCGCTGCGCTGCCGCCACGCGGTGCGTCCCCCGCACGCTGGCGCCGCGCCCCCTCTGAGGCGGCGGCGGCGCAAGTGCGGCGGTAGAGGCGCTGCTGCGGTGAAGGTCCAGACGGCGACGCACGACGCGCACCTTTCCCGACCTGCCCGCGGAAGCCGCGCCGCGGGAATCTGCCCTACAGGCTCGGCGGCGGCGGCGCGGGGCTGAGGTGGAGGAGGGTGGCGGAGGAACTGAAAGCGATGGCGCTGGAGTGGCGGCCGAGGCCGACCGGGAGGGCCCCGAAGCAATGCGCTGCTGCGGCGGGCAGCGGTCTGGCCGGCGACTCCCGGGCGGAGGCGGCCAAGGGCGGCGGCGGCGGCGAAGCGGTTGGAGGTGCACGCAGGGGCGTCTTGCTCGCTCGCGCGCGCGCGCCCGAGACGGCGACTGGCGCCGACGGCGACGAGGAGATGAGCGTGCGCGGCGAGGCGCACGCTTGGCCGCCTCTGGAGGCGGCGGCGCCCGCGGCCTCTTGCGCTTCCTGGCTCGCTGGCGTGCGGGTTCGGGCTTCTGCGGGCCCCCTAGCGGGTGCGACGGCGGTGGTTGCCGGCCTCGTGGGCGACACCATAGTCGTTATCATCCTGGACTGCGCGGGGGAGGCCTTCAGGTTACTATCTGGCCAGTTGGAGCCGCAGGGGTGCGCTGCGTGACCGTCAAGCCGGCGCGAGGCCCCGATGGGGGGCCGAGCCGGCGCGAGGCGAGAGCCCTTTGGGGAGCCCGCTTCTGAGGCGGCAGGCGGCCGAGGCTCGCGGAGATCGACTTCAGCTCCGCCCTTGGGGGTCCCCCGAGGAAGGCCCCGGGCCTCCGTGACCTTTGCGGGAGCGCGACTCGGGCTAGTGGCGTGAGCAGTGCGTTGGCATAGTTTCGGTCGTTGCTGTCGCGGTACCTTAATCCCTTGTCTGTGCGCCAGATTACAGTGTCGGGTTTTGTTCGATGCGAGTGGCGCGCTTGGGATCAATCCTGGCGGAGTCTTCCCGTGGCCTAGTATCGCGCCTAGTTGTAGGGTCTGGATAATTATATATGGCGTCGGCCTTCGGTGCGTGCTAGCGTGCTGGCTCGGGGCGTTGCGCGTCCGTTGGGCGACGAACGCACACATGCACGCACACATGAACGCACGCACACACACACGCACACGCACACACACACCCACACACCCACACCCCCACACCCCCACACCCCCACACCCCCACACCCCCACACCCCCACACCCCCACACCCCAACACACCCCACCCCCCACACCCCCACAAACCCCACACACCACACCCCCACACCCCACAACCCCCACACCCCACCCCCACACCCCCACACCCCCACACACCCCCACCCCCACACCCCCACATCCACACCCCCACACCCCCACACCCCCACACCCCCACACCCCCACACCCCAAACACCCCCACACCCCACACCCCCAACACCCCACACCCACACCCCCCACACCCCCACACCCCCACACCCCCACACCCCCCACCCCCCACACCCCCGACCCCCACACCCTCAACACGCGCACACGCGCACACGCGCACACGCGCACACGCGCACACGCGCACACGCGCACACGCGCACACGCGCACACGCGCACACGCGCACACGCGCACACGCGCACACGCGCACACACGCGCACACGCGCACACGCGCACACGCGCACACGCGCACACGCGCACACGCGCACACGCGCACACGCGCACACGCGCACACGCGCACACGCGCACACGCGCACACGCGCACACGCGCACACACGCGCACACGCGCACACGCGCACACGCGCACACGCGCACACGCGCACACGCGCACACGCGCACACGCGCACACGCGCACACGCGCACACGCGCACACACGCGCACACGCGCACACGCGCACACGCACACGCACACGCACACGCACACGCACACGCACACGCACACGCACACGCACACGCACACGCACACGCACACGCACACGCACACGCACACGCACACGCACACGCACACGCACACGCACACACACACACACACAAACACACACACACACACACACGCACACACACAAACACATGCGCACACACACACACATACGCACGCACACTTTGGCGGTCGCGACCTCGCGCGCGGCGGCGCGGCGAGGTATTTGCACGCGCGCGCAAAAGCCCAAAACGCACGCGCAGAACACGCGCACGCGCGCACACGCACACACGCACACACGTATGTATACATTATATATATATATATATATAGATAAAACCATGTATGCACATATGTACACAATATAACATTTATATAGGCATAGGCATACATGCATATATATATATGTATATATATATATATATACACACGCCCTTTTGGCGTCGCTGCCACGCGCGTGGCGTCGCGGCGTACATATGGCCTGGGAAGCGCGCGGTGGCCTGGCGGCGGGGAAATGCCGGATCCACCCACTGGGGATCGACCGCAACGCTTGCGGGTGGGGCAGCTGTTTGCGGATGTCGCACTTGGTTTGCTTCGCAGCCGACTAGTCCAGCGCGAGCTGTCGACCTGCGCAGAAGAAGGGCGGGCGCGCGCGGCGGACCGCAGGGGGGGCCACGCACGCGCATGCGCGCGCCCTTTACGCTCTCCGGCCCCCGCGCATTACGACGCGCGCGCTCGCGCGCGCGCGCGCCTGTGAGCATCCGCGGCCTCGCGGCCCAGATTCCTCGGCCGCGACCCCAGTGCGGCGTGCGCGGGCGCCCCGCGCGAGGCGCGCCCGCGGGGCCCCGCCCCGGCGGCGCCCTGTCCGCGAGGGCGCGGGCATGCAGCGCGGGACGCAGTGAACAGACTCGCTGTGGATCCGCCGGCGAAAGAGGGCGTGCCCTGGGGGGCGGCGGGGGGCCGGCCGCGAGATTCGCGCCGGCGACGTCTTGGAATGCTGCGGAAAAGCTCATCCCCACATGGCGCCAGCGCGGATCGCGACGCGACCAGGGAGGGGAGGCCGAGCGGGCGGGTTCGCTCACGGACGGCATCGCAAATCATGCAACGCCATCCAGCGTGGACCCCGAACGGCGCGCTCTAGCAAACTACGCGGTGCACTTTGCGCGGGGCAACTATTGTTTCACCTCGCGCGGCGTCGACCCCACTGCTCGCGCAATCGCCCCGCTGTCCCACCCGCGACTTGGTTGCCAAAGCGCGCGCGGCGACGAGTGCAATGACTGCGCGGCCGCGGCTGGCGCGTCTCGTCGGCGGCGCTGGCCCGCGCAAGCTCGCGCGCAGCGCGGCCGCCTGGCCCGGCGCGCCCGACGCGACCGCGATGGCGCTTGCCGGCGGCGGCGCCCCGGCGCGCCCCCGCGGCCGCGCTGGCGCGCGGGCGTTTGATTGCGAGTCAGTGGCTCTGGCGGGCGCGGCCTCGCGATGGCGCCATCGACAGCGGCGACGACGACGACGGCGGCGTCGGCGACGACGACGACGACGGCGACGACGCGGCCGGTGGCGGCGCCGACGCGGACGCCGCCGATGACGATGACGCCCAGGCGTCGCTGGCAAGGTCCCAGTGGGATGCCAACGCAGACACGCGACGGGCGCGCGCGAGTGGTCCAGGCGGCATTCGTCGGCGCGGGCCGCGCCGAGTCACGCTCCCCCCGCAGGCGCGCGGGGGCGTTCGGCTTATTTCGACGAGCGCGCGCGACAGGCCCGCGCGATTTCATCGTTGGACAATGTTGAGAAACGCAGGGCTACTATTCCAACTATACGAAGGGCGCAGATTCTGA